TCAACATGGATCGGACCAGTGAAGCTGGGATAGTCAGATTGTTAGAGGGCACGATTTTAGCTAAGGGAAGAATGATTAACCACAAGAAGATTAATACTTTTGAGTTAATCACAGCATTCTTAAAAATTACAACAACGTGGAAGCATACAGTAGTTATGTGGAGGGAGATTCCTATCATCGAATCCTTCTTCAACAAATCTTTACGTAACACGTGCAACATGAATGACAAAAATTGAAGACGAGTGACTTGGAAAATATTATTACCAATAAAACCAATAGATACGAAACAGCAAACGAAGTTTACAAGATATTTAAATGCCTTAATCTGGCTATGAGCAGTAAACTATGCTCAAATTGTTATCAGTGAATAATACTGTATTGTAGTGGGCTTTGATCAACTAAATTTTTTCTTTAATGGAAAATAAAAGGGACTCCAGACTACTAGACATCAATCAACAAATCATGGAATGGTAGACGAATTTTCTGTGATTTTCTGTGGTAGCTTCTCAAACCTCTTAATACTACCGGTTGTGTAATTTATCTTACACTGAATATCGCCACTCAAAGTGTAATCCTTATTTTAACAATATTGGTATTTTTCAATATTATTTATGTGTTAAAATAACCTTAAACGACTATCTGGAATCTTTATTTTGAATTATATCGAGTATCATGATGAAGACTGTTGTTGTGCGCATCAATCATTTTTATTCAAATGCCTATTTTTTACTAAAAGACTTTGCATCTCCTCTCTAATCAACGAAATGTTTGTTCATTTGACATTTAGAATAATAAATTGGTATTTCTTATAAAGTAACACTTACTGAGTAACAGTTTTAGAGTACGTAGTTCAAAATTATTCAGGAGATTCATGAATAAGCGGAGAGTAAAAAAGACTAAACGTTGTTATTTTCAACGCCTAAAAACAGTTACAATATTTCACTACTTATTGTAATTAGTGTTGAGCAAAGTCCCTCTAATTCATTTGGAAAAAATAACACTGAACACAAATTCTATTTATCATAAGTGTCCTGAGAATTATTTTTCTTGAAACCACTGAGATGACAGTTCCAATGTTTTGACCGTTTGCTCACTTGTGAGTATTGTATCAATAAGTAGTCAGTAGGAATCGATGAGTGTTGTGGTGGCAAGCTGTACCCTACCGATATCTTATGCTGAATAGTTTTCTGAATCTTTCGCTACAGAAATAATAATCAACTGACATTCTGCTTTTAGTGTTCGGATATATGGATTAGATTAATCATAATAATATTTTGCTTTATTCCAAAACAGCACTGCTGTTACAGTGTGGAATCTGCAACATTTAGTTCATTGTCGTATCTATTTTTATCTAATAATAATTAGATCGATTATATTGATAATAGTACAGGATTGCTAATGACTGCTCTTATATGGTAACTGCAGTGACAATGAAGTCATATACGTACCTATCCCAAAAACGGTGAATCATAATAAGGTTATTAGCTATGATTGCCACTTAATTGAGGTAGTGCCACCATCGATTATAAAAAAGACCCAATTATTTGGCCAACAAAATAGTAATTCATAAGTTTCACGTCTTACATTTTCTCTATCACGTAAAACACGGGTCAAATATGGTATTGTTGATTTCTTATGCTTGGTTGAACGAGCACATACTATTTTATAGTGACTCCTAGTTCTCACAGATGAGTTAAAAGGGAAGAGCTGAGAATAGAGTGGAGTGTTGAGGGTCAGAGAATACATATTTAGGCCATTTGTGAGTTTAGATGTCGACCGACTAATGTACTGACAATCTGACTAAGTTGCACACCACTTGCTCTGCTAACAACCTGTAATGCCCTTCTCAAAGTTGTATAGTCCTTTTTAGTAGACCGGTGACAACTGAGTAGTTGGGAGCAGTCATGTACAATAGATAAGGTCAGGAGTTAACAAATTGTAAATGCCGAGATATCATGATTCCAGGTAGTTTTAGTTTCTTGATTTAGCAGCTTACATGGAACATTCTCTTGGAGATCGAAACAAAATATTCTCATCCACATGTTCTTTCCTACTGTTGAATGGCTATTTCAGATAGTTCCTAATACAATGTAAGGCTCACTCTTGAATCCTGTGATGGGGCCCAGGTTTATTTATCTCATAATCGAATCATACAATAAAATCAATTCCTATCACTTGATCTAAATTTTTAAAATGTATCGAGTAAAATCAATGAACCACAAACCAAGGTCCAGTTCGAGAATTTATTGACCTAGATATTTGACTTGTCGCCTACTTCTTAAAAAGATCTCCATCAATTCAAGGCATTCCCTTGAACAAGAAAATATTATTCATTTGTGTCTGCATCGAAACTGTTAATCTTACAGTTCTTCTTACCATCATCTACCTGAAGGAATTACTTCTTAAGTGCGCGTTTGAAATCCATCAGAAATTAAATGATTTCTCGTAGTTGACTGCTTCATGGAGAGTCTCAAAAACAACATCATCGAATCACTGATAAGTCGGCTGCACTTAAAACGGTAGATACGCAGGTGATAGGTTTTTAATTTGTGATGAAAAGCTTGATTTAGGGTTCCCCGCAAAGCCTTTAACGCATCACATCTATCAATTCAATTCCATTTGATTGAAACCTGGCATTTGCATTCCTCGTTTTACTACCTGCCAGAAGACAAAAATGCACTATTCAAACATCACTATATATATTTATATAGCACAAGACAAACTGGACTGGACAGTTTATCAACTTCCAGGGCTTAAACCTACTGATACAAGAGATTAACAAGAATGTGTCGGTGGAACAGCGGTTAGGAAGCTCCCCGACCATGCACATGGTATAAGGTTTGATCTCATGCCGACGCACGCCTGATGTTACCTGCCGGCCTGCTGAGTTCGGTCCACCGAAATCACATGCTGAAAATTCTATATTTCTACTTAAAATACTGTGTGAAGTCAAGCTATGATACAATTAAATAAATAAATATTACGCGCATTAATGTAAGGAATTAGAAAAATCTGTCTGGAAGATATGATGGAGAAACAATTAAATTTATTACGTGAAACCCTTGCTAGAATACAGGTAGTGAGAACATGAACAAAACGCCTCTGTCGCCAAAATACCACAACAATTTCTAAGGAAACTCACTTCATGAAATTTCATGATAATTTCATCATCAAGTGGATCACACTTTGAAACAGTATTATTTGCTAGGTGACGTTTCGAACAAAACTTATTGTTCATAATCATATCAATTATAATCACAAGACTTTCAAACTTGAGTTTTATAGTTTTCTTTTTCTTCTCTTATTTGTCATTACAGTGGTAGTAGAATTTTCCAGATATCTGGGACAGCTGTTGAATCATTCCTATTACATTTATTTGCAGTAGATGCGATAAACAAAGCTTCTGTTATCAATGTCTCCCTAAATTCTGTTACGTTGGATTTTAAAACTGTCATCCTATATCATCATATTGTATGGTTGTGTGTGAATGCACGTAGTGCTATAGCTGAAATATTTTTTTAATTTCTTATCTTATTAGGGTCAACTAATCTAGATTTAGCCAGGTTTCTATGATCGGCTAGTTTGACTACCCCTGTTATAAGACTCTGACCTATGCATTTGACCTGACAATCATTACATAAACTAAATTGTTTTTAAAGTGTCCACAGGATCCCTTAATCGACAAAGCTTGTTTCTAATTGAGTTTGTCAGTTTGAATGACATCGAAGCAGGCATTCTTCGAGATCATATTTTTGAATGAGTTAAGAAGACATTTCAAGCAGTCTCATTATGTATCATATTCTCCAGCAGACACTTAATCCACTCATCCGTTATGGATAAGTTGAGGTTTCTGGTCACCTTGCTATGCATTTTTCAGCTTACATTATTTTACAGAACAAAGTATATCGGCTGTACTCAATGTGAAGTCCACAAACGCATCCTGAAACACTTTCGAGATTGGCTAGGCAGTGGAGCAGAGAATACTGGTAACTCTATTCTCGAACACCTATATCAACTTTAGGCAACCACACCTCCTCATAAATGCTTCTCAGTTCTAAACAAAATTTCTCAATATCGTATCAAGGAAATGCACATACACCATCTGTACATAGCTGAAACATTGCATATTTGCGATCTGAAAGTGGACCTCTGGATTCAAAAGCACTTCATATATTCATTCGCCCTACAGTGGCTGAAGTGATGCTCTTACTCTAATTATGCTTCTTTTTTATTATCTAATTTCACCAGTATTATTGTTAATTATTATTTTCTATTATTATTATTCACACCATTCGTGTCTTATCATCACCATCTTACTGTTTATTCATAACATTTAGTTTCCACACAGATTTTATAAAATCACTTTATCGTCTTTCTACTAGTTACTGTCCACGCAGCACAATGATATTGAACAGTCATTTTCTCACGCTTATTACCTATTCCAAAATTTTTCCTCTTATCTTATCAACCACGTTATATTACGTGAAACATGTTCCGAAGACACATTTTACCAGTATCTGATAGATTTTCTGATTTCATTGTTAAATATAATTATGATTGCACAGCTTATGAAAGTGAATCACCGATAAGTAAATTTTCGTCTCTCTTTTGACTCAATATGGAAATATTCCGTTAATAGTGTTTAAAAAACTGCAATTCACGAGAGATGTTGTCAGTGAAATAGTATCACAACATCTGAGAAAACGTTTTTAAAAGGCTTGAAAGGCCACTTGGCTATGCTGTTCACCGACCAGCTCATCAATATTTAGTACAAGTTATGAGTAGAAATACCCCCATTTCGCATTTTCCATGTATATCCAAAGACTAAGGTACACTGAGTCTACGATTTCGCCGCCGAATTTCCAATCAAAACCTATCTTATTTAGAAAACGGCCCGAATAATTTGAGATGTAGCTCTAAAGTGAGCATATTTCTCTGATATGGGAAATGAGGCTTTGATGACACAGTGGTTAGGATGCTCGCAAGCCACGCACGCTGTCGGGGATTTAATTTTCGGCTGACGCACACCTGATATCTATGATCGGTCAGTCCTATTTAGGCTACCGATATCATATGTTGAGAACTTCATAATTTTACTGTGTGAAGTCAAGCTATAATACCAAAAACAATAAATTTATTTGCAGTAATAATATCTTGTTAACTGTTAGAAACGGTGTAGTTTAACGCAAGAAAAATGAATAAAGGGTAAATTGATTGTTGGAAAAATTATTTTTCATTATATTTTATTACATCAGTTTTGAACCTTGTCTAATTTGAAAGTTGCATATGTTTGTGTGAATTGGCAAATGAATAAAAACCAAACAAAGAAAGATATAATAAATTCTGCGGAATCGGCTGTGAAAAATGCTATTATCGACTTTCGAAGACTGACGAAGATAAACATTAGCTAAAAGGTGAAGAAACGAAAATGATTGGGACAGAGAACAGAAATACAAGTATTTGTAGCTATGCAGAAATCATTATTGTACATCACGTAAGTCTTATTTCTAACGTGCTGACCTTATTAACGTATTCACCAAGTGAAGTGTACACAAAGCTAACAGTATTTTGAAGTCTATAGTGATTTTGTGGTACTCGGATATATATATATATATATGCACTGAGATAATTAGTTCATATCTTGCCGAGATTTCCCACCTGAAGTTTGTGTCAAATATGCCATTATTAGTTGCCTTCAAGCAAATAATTTGAAAGTGATAATCTCAGTAATGATAAGTCGAATCTAGTCACATATTCGTTTGTCCCACATTCTAATGAATTGAAAAAAATTATTTAAGTTCATTTGTAGCTTTATAGGCATTGTAGATATACCCTACAGTAACTTATCTTCATCGAACAGCTGTGATTTCGAGGAAAACAGAATTCAAAATACTGATATAATCACGAACTTACTATGACTAAAAATAACCAAATAGAACTGTTGGCAGAATGGATAATATCAGAGTCTAAAATGCAGAATAAATGCAAATTTTACAAAATTCCACTTAAGTAATCTTAACTTCGTGAATTACTTTAAGTACACACTTAAAAAGATAATTTTTATGTATGCAAACACCTGCTTTTGTGCTTCAGTCTTATAATCCTGGTAAAACATTCATTTGGTCGAGGTGACATTTCTGACCGAGGCGTTTCTCTTAAACTCGATGATGAGAGTGGAGAAGAAATTGCTTAGAATTGAGGCTAACAACCCTATGTCGTATTAGAATCACATCATCAAAATTCAGACATTAAGCTTAACACTTTTTACTGCACTCCGAAGGCAGTGAAACTAAAACGTGTAAACATTATCTCATGTTTCTGGCAGTGAAATGACAAGGCTTTTAAATGATTATGAAACTTCTAAGGACGTTTTTAGATGAAAGCTAGTAATCAGATATATTGAAAGAATTCGTAGCCATATCTTCCAAATTTATTCGATTAATTAATTTCCACTGCATAGGAAGCTATAGATATTGTGGACAAAATATTGATAGCTTCTCTGGAATATTTTAACTGTCACAATTAGGCTCACAAATGCTGATAAAACGAATAATTAATCGCTTAAGTACATTAAAATAAATTGTAATCGACGCCAGATGAACAGCTAATTAAACGAAGTGAGCTGACTTTTTAATTTATTTTTTATTTAAGCAATTAAGAGGAGCAGCAGACAATAACCTTCATCTTGTGTAATTTGTGTGGATTTATCATTTTGTTATAACTTACAAATACACTACCGAGATCAAGTATTTTCACTGTGGTCAGGTAGTAACAAATCTTTGCAATGATTGCTAAAATTGCACAAGTGACTGACAATGAAAAGAAAACAATAAAAACCTTTTCATTTAAAGTTGGCAGCTTCAAAGCCGCCACGATAATTAAAGTTGTAATCATAACTGTCATAATCAGCGATATCCATTTGTATAGCATATAAAACAGTGTAAATGCAACAGCGGAGGCGATAGACCACAGGAAAACCTGTCAAATGGAAAAAGTGACCAAAATGGAAAATAATCCTCATTATGGATGAATGACTGCTGTTCTACAAATGAAGTTACATGCCCATTTTAACGACAATAAAATCAATGATGAATGGTAATAATAATATTATTATTCATAAAAATCAAATAACCACTTTCTCATTCACCGTAATTTCTTCTGATTTCACTCATCCTCCCTTACTAGTATATAAACTGTTCGAAAATGGTGAAGACGTGATAAAGTAAACCTTGATATCTTTATTAAGGTAAATGCTTTCGATGTCATGTTTCTCCTATATGAAGAAATTTACTTAGCTGTGACTAGTCTCAGGCGTGAGTTCGAGTTGCAACTTTATATGAAGATCAGATGTATGCGTCAATTGTCATTTGTGTCCTGAATGCAATGCCTCAATATGCAACAACAAAAGTTTATGAACCGCGTCCTATCTTGTTGGTTGGCGAAGGAGTGTATATTGTTGAATATAATTCTAGCTTGCATTTAGCCTCACACCTATTCTGCTGTTTTAGTGATATACATACATGAAAAAGATAGCACTTTCGATATCAAAAGTTAGGTATCATCAAGAGAATTTCAAATTACATCAAAACCTGTTGTATTCGGTTTCGTACAAACTGGTTATCAGTGATTTTCCGCTACCGATTCTTCCACAGCAAATTACCATCACACCTTTTGATTCAATTATGTTATTTCGATGTGATCTCCATTCTAATAACACTCAATTATGTTTAAACAAGTTAAATTTGTGTCCCTAATCTCAGAAATATATAAGGACAAAACTTTATTCAACCTCACAGGCTTTCTCTAACACCATTCATGAAAACATGGTTGTTACAATACCGGTGATTGTAGGGAATAATGAAAATAACATGAATGTGCGTTGAATAGTGTGGAAATCACCAGGTTGACCAGGAAACTATGGACTTTGAAGTTTGAGAAAAAGTAGGAGATGCACTCATTTCATTATGTGAACAGAAGTCAGTTATTCCTACACAACCTGATAACAGGACGATGAATCTCAAAATACATTTAACCATATAGTCATTGGATTTATATTTAGGCATGACAGTCAGTTAGCCAATGGGATTATATTTTAAACTTTAAACTACTTCGTTGTGTTAAACAACTATCTAACTTCTATTGATATACGCTTTATCGTGGTGCAACAAATACTCGCCTTTTCCGTCGTTTATGTGCGTTTTCTTAGTGTCGGTATTTGAATCTTTTATTTTTATCTTGTAGTGAAGTAATAGCTTAACAAAGCTGCAACCCGGTGCTATCTGCAGGTATACAATTTCGGAGATGGTGTGGAATATGAAGACTTCGGAGGGGGGGACTATATAAAACTGATACTTACTACAATTCCGAGAATTAATCGGGAAGCGAAATATTTCGAATGAATTTCTCTGGAAAATAGAAAGAGAAGCAAGAGAACAGCACCAACTGCCCTAAAAAGAAATCCTAAAGGCAAATAGATCAGCAAGTGCTTTCCTAAAAAGAAATTATTTTCAAAAAATACAGAAAGTTAGTTTAATTGTAAGAAGAGAATTAATCTGTAAAAGGGATTATATAGGTTTATTTGCCACTCATGAAGTGGGCTCAGTATGTAAACTGAGATCACAGTAGGCGTTGTTGTAAGATGTTGAAAAGTGTCAATCACTTCTTAACACAATAACAACTAATACTTTTCGTCAGATATGTGATGCAATTCAATAATGAAAAAATTTTTCTGAATAGACAACTTACAAAATGAGATATACGAAATGGAAATGACTCTCGAAAAAGTGAGAAATAACTACCCTGAAAACCAAAATAACGTTCATTTATTAACTATAATTTCATCCTACACTTTATGATATAAAATGACAGCACCAACTGTGACAAGTATCAGAACAAATAAATCCACTATGAACTAAACACACATGAAGTATTTGAACAGAATGTGATATTCTTACCCAAACAGTAGAGAAATAAGTGACCAAGTTAATATCAAGTTAATGAGTAGCCAAAGCCTCGGCGTATTTCAATAAGCACTCTTGGCCGCTTTTATAGGTAACCTTGACATCATCAATCTTATGGTTAACATCAATCTTATGGTTCATCTCGATTAGGTGTTTAGCAATAAACCAAGTTGGTAGTCTGACACGAAATATTGATGGATACTCTTGTTGAAAACTGATATCCTTCAAAATTTTAAACAGGTGTAGAAGTACATTAGTCTCTGAACCCTACAATCGATACCACCCCTGAGAAAAAGGTTTTCATCAAATTATCATATAACGGGTAGATAAACAGTGGGATTTTGGGACAAATGTTGAATTCGATCTTCAGTAGTACCTATTATACAGCTCAGCTTGTAATTGTGGAAAAAGCTAAAAATATGCCCTACTGAAAACCTCGAAAGTGCACAAATGATTATAGCACATGACACACTACTTGCCAATTGTTCGTGTGTTTGTGGCCATATATCCATAAGAAGGAGTAGTCGCGTTTCGCATGTGAGTGTGGGAAGGCATATCCCAAAATAGCTAGAAAAACAGATTAACTATGAAAAACCGATAGATACAGGTGTCACAATACCAACTTCGTCTAAAGCTAAACACCTAATCGAGATGAACCATAAGACTGATGTTAACTCAGTCTTAAAGGTCATCTATAAAACGGTCAAGGGCGCTTACTGAAATACGCCGAGGCTGTGGCCGTTAAGGAACCTAAGTTATCCACCCCCCGTGTATTCAAAAACAGTTTATTATTCCCCTTAACCTACATTAGAAATTCTTATTTGATTGGATTACCAGACGTTGTATTAATCGTTCTTAAATCCATTTTTGTCACTTTGTTTAATTTACCTTTTTCATATATATCGACTTGACAAGTAAATGTGTGATCAGATTGTTGGAAATATATAGCGCAAATGCATCACATTTTTCAGATAATCTCCAACTTCCAAAAACACTATCCAAATTTATAAAACACACTAAGTGTTTTAATAAAATGTGATCCAATGAGATCAATCGAAAATGGTGTGTGGCTATGTATTTTCAGCAGATAAATCTTTCACATGACAGAATTGCATTGTAACACAGTGCCTAAGGCCTTTACCATAAAAATATTGATGTTGGGGAATTTAATGAATCATAAAGTGCACACACTTGGTTGAAATTCGAGAGACGCACTTATCGGCGAATTTCAGAAGTTAAACATTTATTACTTGATAACAGTTTGTTGATTAGGAATGCGGCTTTTCTAGTTAGAACTTAATAAATTCACAAAAGGACTTCAGAAAAATTGTGTTCCAACTGACCCGAAAGAAAAACTCGATGGAAATATTTAATAAAATTGCATCGGTAATCAAATAAGTGACTCACTGCCGCCAGGCTAAGGATCTTTAAACTAAGAACCCCTTTCATACATGACTCGTCAATGGGAAATGAATTTTTTAAAAATGCAGCCATTGTGCAGTATAACTAAACAATGAATGGAAACTTAAATCTAAACACAAACTGATTAGGCATATTTTTACTTCCCTTCTAACTGAAATATACGCCACAAATGTTCATGTGGGACAAAGCAACTTAGGCTTGGTTGACCGTTGACTTAAAATCGCTATGTGAATTCTCATGTTAATTAAAATTGAAGAACAAATCAAGCAAACCATTAATGACTTACATGAAATAACTCCTCACTTCAAACTAACTCGTTTCAGAATATTCAGGTAATTTCTTTGAAACAGTTGTATTCATATATATATATATATATATATATATATGTGTGCTTGTTTAGTGCTGCGTAATCGACACAACTACACATGATTGGCCAAAGTATGTTTTGTTTCTTATTGTTACTAAAATTCACACTTAATGATTTTTTTCACAACAATTGTCATATTTTAAATGTGGATTTTGAACTCTATGCACACTTCACAAATTAAATATTTGAACAAAGTGATAAGAACACACGACAGAAGTTGAACGAGATTCACTGTTTATTTCACCGTTATCTTTTCAGCTGTATACAGCCTTAATAATGAAATGTATTCAGTCTGCTAGTGTTTTATGATACTTCAGTTTATTAGAGGTAAAGTGTGAGAGAGTGAATAAGAGTGACTTTTGCATGTAGATGAATCAAACGAATCAAACTAAGTGAAACATAGAATGTTACCAAATTTAAGTGTGCCGTGGGATCGAACCAAGCAGAACAGTTTAGCAATAGTAACAACATGCTATTGCGGTATGTAAACTGCAAGATAACACAGGACATTAGAAGACAATAAATTATATATGACAAAATATCGCATAATGTTTACAGACGTTTATTTCACTTCTGTCAATTTAATACGCATTCGGGTTCATATGAATTCTTCCTCATTAAGTGAAGTAGTCCGGGAAAATAGTCAACGATCTTTTTGCATAAACTTGCATCCAATCACACAAAAAATGTTATAATGGCCCAAAAACCAGAAGTAATATATTTATGTGGGGAGCGAAATTAATCACAAATCTCTCCTTAATTTTGTCGAAATCAATCACTTGGAAATGACATGACGCAATAACTATCTTGGATATACGAAAAGCCTAAATGGAATTTAGACTGGAGTAAGGTGTAGGAGGATCAGGAGTAGAACACTCAACAACCAAGCACGTGACTCAGGGTTTGATCGTCAGTCGACGGACTTCCAAACCTATTTGAACCGCTAGTGACGGATGTCAAGATTGAAACGTTTAACGTGAGGTTGGCAACAGCAATCCGTTAAAATTAACCCAGTGTAACCAAAGCTTTGAAGAATTAGGTTCCGAAATGTAAATTCCTAAAATTAAATAAATAATAAAATTTGGAGTAATGTTTTGAATAAGAGATTTAAGATGAAGTGTGATAAGATTATGATCGCTAGATCGTGGTAAAAATGCTTTGCAGTTATAACGTTTTTCAGCCTTATATGAAATAAACCTATTTATTATGAAACGACATCTCACCACAAGAGCCTTATTTTTTCTCAAATTAATACGCATTATTCTTGTAAAAATGAAGCATATCGTCCACAGTATAATGAGAGCTTTACTCATTGTCATCGACGTCACACACGCATATGGAAAATGACGGTAAGATAAACAAAAAGCTAAAAAACAAATTTGAATGGTAAGAAGTGCATTCAGACGAATTCTACTGGATAAGAAATTCTAGTAATTGAAATACACCACTTGTGAGGTATAATATCTGAAACCCAGAGATACTGAAAATAATTCGCTACCCCGCTGTTTAACGTGGAGTACCCAATATAATATTGATTACTCAGTGAGGGACTTCTTCGTTATTTCGTGTTTTAACATACTCTCATTACAAATGAAACACATAGGACAGTGTAACTAGTAAAATAATTACTTTTAATATGTTCACAAGAACCAGTAGTTCTGATGTTGTTTTTGAATTGAATATGTTATTTTGGTTATGTGAAACATCGTTCCAGTCGATAATCGTTCAGGACTGACTGGAGAAACTTATTGAAATGTATTTGATGCTTATCATAGGTAGACCTTCGACAAACGGATCCTCGAAGACTTCCATGTCCTATATGCTGTGCTACGATTTGGAAAAATGAAAATAGGAATTACCGCTATGTACACAAGTTATTTGAGTATTATTCTAAATGTCATGGGGTATTTCAAACACGTAGAACACTGACTCAAGAGAACATGCTGTTTGTATATTTCGGAGAAAGCATGTAAGTAAAAAAATGAAAACACCAGAAGATTAAATAGTTGCACATAATGTTAGAAACCAGATAATTTTTAAAATGTCCTCCCAGATTACATATGATGCGCTATCGAACTCAATCATTGTCCCGATAGTTCAGTACAAAGCTCAACTGATCGTTCGAAATGAACTATCATTCTGTTATATACTTTTCTGTCTCCATACAAACCATCTATAAGCCTTTTTCTGGTGACAACATCATGACTTTACAGTCAGTATTAGGGCATATCAGTGCACTTCAGTGATCCTTTGACAGAATTTCGAAATACGAGTTTGTTTAAGCGAAATATGTTTAACAACGCCGACCAGGATAGAGATAAACCGAATCCGGTTGTCTTAATCCATTGTACAAAGAACATTCATACTGGCGAAAGATATTTAAACACAGAAATAAAAGCATGTGTTGATTTTAGATGATGTTGAGTGGTACTTCGGTTTTGAGAGAAAGTGGTATTTCAGGTGAGTGTAGTGAATTTCCAGATCTCTCAAATATCTCAAAAAAAAACAGTTCATTAATACAGCAGTGAGGTAAAAAATTAGTAGAGCTACTCATAACATTTACCACTGAAACATTTGACAATGCACAGTGTACTAATGAAAGCCGATGATTTGTGTTTACCAATCAAGATATTCTTCATGCCTTTATAATACTCAGTAGGCCACGATTTATTCACTTCTGAAAACTTAGTTTTGACATTGCTGTTTTGGAGAAAGAAAAAGACAAAGCTCAGCAAATATGTCTCTATTCCAATGAAGTAACAAGGAGAGACTGAAAGTGATTACACTCTTCACATTGACATGAAAGATTGAGGGTGAAAATGTATAATACAAGGATCGTAGAAACAAAGTAACTTTGTTCGGCCACTTGATTTTTTCTCTCGATAACCCTGCTGGGTATTTTTGATAATTTCACTAATATTTCAGTGGTTTACACAGTTGAGGATTACGGTTAGAAGTAAATATATAGGAAAGAATAGTATGGAGTTAAAAAATAATCCTTTAGATAAAGTCCTGTTCTAACACAAAGTTTGATCACTTAGAGTAGAGACTGCACAAATCACCGATTCATTTACCTTGAAAACATAGAACTCATAATTAATAAATCATCCATTAAAAATATGAACGAGTAGCAACTTCGTTACTTCTCACAAAAGTGTTCGTATGAGTCTTCAAAAAATGATTTCATGAGTCATGAACATTGCATAATTCGTGTAAAATAATTCGAATCGCCCATTAACGATGTATGCAAGAAACAATTACAAGGATAAGGGCATGAATAATTGAGTAATATTGTCACAAGAGACTTTATGATTTATATTCTCACAATGGAAGATTATTTAAATGCGAGTACAGTTCAGCTCAAATTTACAGATACACCAGTATCAGGCCATTGTCAAAGTTTCCTCATGTAACAACCCCTTTTTGTTTCAGGAGAACGTGCATTCATGTATATCTGTGCGCAACAAGTATCTTAAGGTTTCATTATGTAAAATAACTGTATTACAATTTCAGAGGTACTACTAATGCCTTTGCGTTTGATAGTTTAGAAATACTTATGAGCGATGTTCATGATATCTTTAATAATCCCTTTGCTTTGATATATAGGAGCGGTCCGAAATGGCTTTGAGCGCGTCGTCTTGCCACTGTTTCATAATTTCATATGAAAGGAGAGCTTGGGACAACAGAACACTGTTTGGCTTTTAAATAATGTTGTTGCAATTTTTCACAGCCAGATGGAGGAATTGTGCATGATAAATAGCAGTCTTAATCCAGACACTACAGCATGAGACATGTGTGTAGTATATCATCATCCCACCTAGAATTGGATGAAAACACCAGAATGTACTTCAATATCTATTAGAGTTGCAATTGAAATCAAATTCAAAGCCTAGCAGTTTTCCTGTGCGTCGGTGGCACAGTGGTTAGGAATCTCGCCGACCATGCACATGGTTCGGAGTTCGAGCCCTCGCCGACGAACACCTGATATCTATGGTCGGCCTGCAAAATTAGGGCTACCGATATTCACGCTGAAAATTCCATACTTGTACCAAAAATACTGTGTGCAATCAAGCTGTAATCAAAAATAAAAAATAAATAAAAATTATATTTTCCAAGTAAAATGATCAAAGGAAGTAACACAGCGATACATCTTGAGAGTTTATTCTAGACCCTGAGTAACCTTTGTATACAGATTGAGAAGGGCTGTATTTGTTTGATATCACTTGACAAACTTGTGTCTCAATTTATCGAATTAACATTCCAAAAGCCTGTCAGAACAGCACTGGTATGTATGAATTTTACCTATGTTGTCTTTATATTGTAATTGAATAATAGTGGTGTTGATGGATATAGAAGAGTACATCACGGAAACAGTAATCCTTTCGAATGATCAGCTGAGATTTAAACAGTGAAACTAAAATCCAGATTCACTTTCAAAGCACTTCAGAGATATTGTGAGAGAATTCACTGAAGAGAATCCGATATATCAAAAATACTTAGAGAATATATCATGGAGATATTCATATTTCTCACATTTAAGATAGATCTCAATATCATAAAAGCCACCTGAGATATTCACTCAGGAATGTGCTGATTACAACAGCATATAAAATATTAGCTATTTTCATTTACTTGAAGTTGTCAATCAGAGCTTGAAATATTGAAATACCCAAAGAGCTATTCATGGAAAGTCAGTGTAGGGCGGGTAGCATTTTGAATTCTTTAGATTTCATCCGTGCGCTCCGAAATGATATTCGATACAAAGGATAGTCAACGTAGGCTGAAGAATATACTGAACTAGGAAACTGCTATACGTTCCAAGTATCTGTTTGTAGTGAATTGATTGATTGAGTACAGCTCATGATGATACTCTGTAAACAATGAGAAGTGAGGGTGTTGTAAAATTCCTGAAAAATAATTCTCCACCATGATCATCGCAGTATTTCTCCAGTTTTGAGTGTTTAAATTATGAAACGATTGACTCAAAACCATGAGTAACCAATGACGCTGATATGAGAGGAATGAATGTTCAAATATATCTCCAGTAAAACTAATTGCAATGAATATACCTTTAGGAATTTTCAACCGTAACAGAATCTACGCAAATCAGATACTGGAAATCTATATTTGATAAACTTAGCCATACTCTCTGTGATAATAATAACTGAATTTTTCCTTGTATTCATGAATGTCCAAAATAGTTTGAACATATCTCCTCGCAACTTATATTGCATTTATTTAGAATGGGACACAGAACTTGAACAAGACACCTCCACTTTACGAAAGGATTGAATTTTATCAAATGACACAGTGTTGTGCAGTTATATTACCTGATGACAATTCGAGCACAAATTATCACCCTTAATTACCTCAAGTCCATTCAAATTAGCCTGAAACTTGATAGTATTTTCTGCTTAACCAAATGTTTTCTATTGTCAGCTAGTATCAAACCAAAATCAAGTACCGCTCTACTTGTAACTTCAACTGGTCTACAGAATTTCATGAAGGCATTCAAATTTCTTTTCTAATACTTTTCATGGTTTATTAACAGCCTGCTACTACTACTACTTTTTCGTCTTCTGCCTCTTCTTCTTCGGATTCCTCTGTTCGAATTATATTCTGCGGTATCTTCTGTGTTGAATATCATAGAGCTATTCTCATTTGATCATCTCTAGCTGACTGACGTTCATTTTGTTTTAATTATTTAGTTAATGTAAGCACTGTGTTACTGAGGTGAACCTTTGTTAGTCTTGTCTGGTTAATGTTTCTTTGTTGTTTTGAATGTTGAAATTTTTGCGTTTGTTTTGTCTTTTCTTAACCGATTTCACACTCAGTTGAGTGTGTTGTTCACTCACTCAGCGTTCAGTGCATTACAGTCAGCCTACTTAGCCTTCTAATAAGCTAAAATTTTCAATTTTATCTGAATGAATATCGCACCATGTTGTGTAACGTTTTGTATTAGTCTACTAACCCTATATTTATACACCTCATTCCCCATCTCTACATCTAACAGTGTTTAATAATACCATATTATGAATTAAAAGTCAATCTCAATGAAGAATATTCTTTTCAATAATTTCTCTTCAGGTCCTTAAAATCTTAAAATATAATATTTGTTTACGTTACAATAATGACCAGATACGCGGCGAATACACTTATACACCTCAGTCCCAACATCTTTGCCTCCTATGAATTATTCTATATATGGTATAAATTGTTTTGTCACTCAACATTCATTTCTGACTGTTTTTACAACTATTTTAAGAGCATTTCACCTACTTACATCCTTGACTCAATTCCCTCAACGGACATTGTTTCCTAAAGAAAACCATATATTTATGTATATAAATGATTGCACAGTTTTAGAATGATTTTGTTGGAAAGAGTCACTTTGCTGAATACAATAGGGACCAAAAGTGCCTTCTCATTTTCCAACACCCTTCATTATAAAAATTAGATTTCAGATGGTTATAGTAAGAAACGGTGAACATTTTCTTATATTTTGACTCATTAGAAAACTAATTAGGCTGACTGTAATGCACTGAACGCTGAGTGAGTGAACAACACACTCAACTGAGTGTGAAATCGGTTAAGAAAAGACAAAACAAACGCAAAAATTTCAACATTCAAAACAACAAAGAAACATTAACCAGACAAGACTAACAAAGGTTCACCTCAGTAACACAGTGCTTACATTAACTAAATAATTAAAACAAAATGAACGTCAGTCAGCTAGAGATGATCAAATGAGAATAGCTCTATGATATTCAACACAGAAGATACCGCAGAATATAATTCGAACAGAGGAATCCGAAGAAGAAGAGGCAGAAGATGAAAAAGTAGTAGTAGTAGCAGGCTGTTAATAAACCATGAAAAGTATTAGAAAAGAAATTTGAATGCCTTCATGAAATTCTGTAGACCAGTTGAAGTTACAAGTAGAGCGGTACTTGATTTTGTTTTGATACCAGCTGACAATAGAAAACATTTGGTTAAGCAGAAAATACTATCAAGTTCCAAGCTTGGTATTCTCTGATTTCATTAAAATGATAGAAGTTGGCAGCTGGGTAAATCGGATTGCGTGGGCGCATGTATTTTTCTCACTTTACTGGCGAGAGTGTAGGAAATGAGGCAGTTAACTGTTATTTACTGTAGTCTGTCATACCCTGTAATTCTGTCGTCTTCTCTGGTATGATGGTGTGACTGTGGACGTAGAGTTACATAAGGAAGGGATTGATTTTTTCTCTCGATAACCCTGCTGGGTATTTTTGATAATTTCACTAATATTTCAGTGGTTTACACAGTTGAGGATTACCGTTAGAAGTAAATACATAGAAAAGAATAGTATGGAGTTAAAAAATAATCCTTAGATAAAGTCCTGTTCAATCGCGAGGATAAACAAACAACAGAATGTGTGGTCTAGCTAGCTAGGTCCGGTCGACATGACAGAAATTCGACGAGATGTTGTTGGTGAGGTGATTCATCAAGTGAGATTAATTGGTGATTGTCTGGATTTCACGCGACTGTCCTTGTTGCATAGCTGTCTGTCTGAAAGTGTGTTGTGGACATGAGTCTTTCAATGTGTGTGTGTGTGTTTGTTTCTTTGCATTGTATGTGAGAGTGAAGGAAGGCGACAAACTATTGGGCAGTGTGAGCGTGAGTGTTCTTCTGCTTGTATGTTTGTTCGTGTGAGTGAGTGTGTGTGCTGTCTGGCTGTATGTCAGCCTTTCTATCTGCAGTCTATCCGTTTATCTGTGTATGCTGGTCACACATTCTCCTTCAACGACTGATTTCATTATAATTTGACTATATAGAATTTGTGATCATGAGTGGGAAAGCTTGTTGTTGTGTTCGAGTTGACGGCTGGTTCACTGAGAGACCGAATGAGTAACTGACTCACTGCATGACTAACTAATTATGCCACTCAGTTAAATTACCATTAACCAAGAGAGTGGGTGCTTCAATATCTGAATAACTCGACAGCTACCTAGCTGGCTGGCTGGTTGGCTAGCTCAGCGAATTATGGCGCAATCGACTCTACACTTAACTACTGACTACTGATTCACTCGCTTATTCTTCATTAACAAAAGGACTAACAAGCTGACAGATTGAAAG